ATGAAAGGCATTCATGAAGCCATGGCGGTGACTTGGCAGTAGACAGAATGGATATAAGAAAATCCTTCAGCGTCCGAAATTTTGAAAGAATAACCTAGCTAGATATATTGATACTCCCAAAATGGTAAGAATTTCTTATATTCTTGAGGTATTTCACAATACTGTACTCTTATCTATGGAATATGTAATTTTCCTAAAAAAATTAACGAGTGGTAGAATTTCCAAATGTTTTACATTGATGAAATACGCCATTGAATTTAATATTTTTAAAGTATCAAAGAATTTTTTGTAATGTCGTCCTCATATGTGGACATTATTTAAATAACATGAATAATTAATAGTATGAAGATAAAGAGTAAAACATAAAAAAAAATAATATAAGACATATATACAAAGAAAAATATAAACGTTCTAAATACTTTATATGTTAAAAGGAAAAATCACTGAAAACAATTTATAACGTTCCACTAAATAAAAGTCCACTGAAAATGTGAGATAATGGGAAAAATGTGTACTAAAGAAAGGTCACTGAAAACCATTTATAACTTCCACAAAATAAAAGTCCACTGAAAATGTCCACACGCAATAAAACGTCAAACGAATTCACTGAAAGTTGTGAAAAATATACACTGAAAATAATTGGTTAAGGCAACAAAGAGAGCGTCTACGATATGGCGTCGATGGTTCTGGTGAATAGAGCTGTGGATTTTTCCTCATCATCGACCTCGACTTAATCTTTTTTCCTAGGCGCAAGCTGTGTAGGCACATATTCTTCGTTCTGCCGGTTGGATTTGGGTGTAGGTGGTTTCATCGCGAACTATTGAGTGAGGTGTATTCAACTTACCAGAAAAATGACGGTTTTTCAACCTTTTGTGAATACATCGTCTATACAGAAAATATGCAATAGAAAACAAAAAAATAAGATATTCAATGGGCCATCGTAGTAAATGGATTATTCAGCATTGGATCCAAATATTGAATATTTTGCATCTCCCCGAAAAGGGTGCAATACATAGTACATCAAGGTAGTGTTGGAATTTATGTAAGCCGGTAACGGGACAATTTTGTACATTTCAAAAATGATATGAAAGGAAGTGACGTCAGGAATTAATGTGACACTTAAAATTTAGTAATATTCGATTGACTAAAGGTATGGAAAGTTCAACGGTAGCTGAAAGTTGCTGTTGAACTTCTGCCAATGCCAAATATAATTGAACGCTGGTTAAATGATCCTGAATAACTTCCATAACTTGACTATGTAATAATGTTATAGAACATTGAAAAGTTTAAAAGGTTGAGTATAATAAGTGAAAGACACCAGATAATTGTTGGATTATCTGTATAAATTGTAGTTGTGGTTCTAAACCCTACATGTTAGAAATCCATTAGATAAGGAATGTGTCGAATTGATTAATAAGTTAATTGATTTCCTGTTTAGTTCTACATTTCTAACTGTAGTATTTAATACAGTTAAACCATGTTCCAAAACATGAATGACTTTTTCTTGGGAGGTTTTATTTTATGTACGGTCTACTCGGAAGCAATGCCAAATAAAAATGACAATTCTACCCAATGGAAGTAATCTCCGTTTGAAATGACGTGAATTTGTTACCTGAAATTTGAAACTTTGAAACGTATTGTTCAGAAATGTCTATTTAACTGATTATACTCTGTGTTCAAAACATCTTGTAGAGTACGATTTAATGTAGTGAACCGCGGTTGTTTTGGTTTAATACGTTCGGTGTAGTTAAAACTGCAGTGGATTTTTTAAATAGGTCAATAGATGTTTGTAGATCGTGTATTTGATTTTCAAAAGACAGCAGGTCAAAATGAAAATTGAACACCCGAGTAATATACGAAGCGTAAAATTGGTGTTGAAAAACGAATGGAACATTGTTGGTTGTAGTAGCTTAGCTAAATGACAGCAAAGAGCAAGGTCCACCAAACATGAAGTCTTAGATCCTAGCCCGAAATATAATTCAAGGCTAAACTAATTCATGCGACGTAATAAAACTATATAAATAAATACTCTACAAAACAGATGAACGAATTTATGATATTAGATAATACTTATCCTGACAACTCTATGTGCATATTCGTTTCCATCCTCGACAGTTTGACGATGAGCTTCAACTTCGACCTTAGCCTCACTCATACGTGACTGCAAATACACCTAGAATCTATGCGGACTTCTGTTATAAATTCTTTTACTACTAAATCCTGACACAACTCTATGTGAAGAATTCATCGGAAAGGAGGTGATGGCATGTAATGTGAAACTGCCGATAAGATCAAAAATAAACAATTCACTTCTAAAGACGTCCACAAGTCGTTAGACGATAAATAGGTCAATTAATACAACTACAATCGCCTAAGGTAAGGAGATTGCCTACAAATTGGAATGTACCCCTAAGGTTTCGTCGTATAAATCTCTCAAATAAAAGTTTGCGAAGGTTGTATCGCCAGACCAAAAAAACAGCCTCGCATAATGTCCGACGTTGAAATATTATTATGTATGGTAGAACCATATGCCCTAATTTCGTTAGTTCGATCTGAAACCAGTCGAGGGAGGCCAGCACTTATGTAAGCATCCAAAATAACTGAGTGAAGCTAAAAAGCAAAAGTGTTCTTTTTCACTTCACCATGTTTAACTTTCAAAGGAAAAAATAATCTCTTGTGAAAACCTGCAGGCCTGACCGGGCACAGAAATAAATCCTCATTGTCATCTGGTCCTAAAATACTGCTGAGGGGCCTGATAACAAATGTTCTGTCGGGATCCCCGGTTTCTGATTTTTAGCTCCAAGGTCCCACATTAACCAAAGTTCAAAACGCCATTCTCACCCCTTTGGCGTTTCACCTGCTGTACGTCACAGCAGTCCAAAATTTGCCGCCATATTTAAAAAATAATGTACTCTTGGCACGATGCCCGTACCAGTAAGTTGGATATTGATCAAAAGGTGACGTCACATTTGTATTTTAACTGTAAAGAAAAAAACACATTAAGTAAGTCCTATGATCATTCAGAAAACGTTAAGTAAAAAATGAATGTCTCATGTTTTATGTATAAACGTAATCGACAGTTATTGTATAATATTATAACAATGCTAATGCAATACACTTCACTCGATCTAGCTAAAATGGCGAATAGTCTTTGTTCAATACTAATGGTAATTCATGGACTATACAACTGATTTATTTACATGTAAACATGTACCGTAATAGACTACTTGTTTTTCTTTTCTTTTTAAACTACGACCCCTGTATATGAATAAGGAAGTGATAACTTATATCAAATATAATTATAACCTTAAACTAAAATGGCGATAGTTGTGTTACTGATAGGAATATTAACTCAAACAATATTAGGTATGTTTTTATATCTTATTATATTCATATATAATCATATAGTACATATATAATCATGTTGTGTAATTTATTCATTATAGCTTCATTTATTCATTGTGTAAATGTATAAATACTAATAAACCGAATCTTAGAGGTTCAATGTTGAAATGACTTATCTGTTATTGTGATCATGTATGTTCTTTCCCCTTTATTATTGATATAATCATTGAATATGAATTGCATATAGGTTGATTTACTTATTACTTCGTTTCTTTGTATTGGGAATAGCAAGTGTATATGGTGCTTAATTAAACAATACAATACATCAATACTTGTATTTCTTATATAAATATATATTAAACATTTAATAGGTATGTAAAATAAATACTGAACCTAATGAACTAGTTGATGGAGAATCTGGTAATGTTACCTGTTATTATAACAATGTAATAGACAGTAACTGTATATATTCTCTTT